TTTGATATAATTTTCGAAAAAGGTTCATTAAAAGGGTCCTTTAGAGAAAATAAAACGAATTGCAACTGTCGGCGGATTCTCGATGAGTGGCTCTTAATTTATCACTCGCGCCAGACCACAGCGGTCGAGCTCTCTGAAGACCCGGATTAAGACGAACATAATTCGAAACACGAATAATAGCATCGAGGCTTTGACGAACAGCATACGGACACGAATAATAGCATCGAGGTTTCGAATAATAGCATCGAGGTTTTGATACCCTGGTCCCAGAGGTTCTCCTCTCTCTACCGGAGTACGAGAATTCGGCGCGAAGCGGCGGCCAACGAGCTGCAAAGCAGCGAGCGGAGAGAACCTCTGGTCAGGACCGTTGAGAATCTCATTTTCATGCCACCAAGCTTCGGGTGACAGCCATCAATCACGCCCCTTTCCTACAGCCAATCAGAGGTATTCAACCCCTAGAGGTATTTTAGTACTTTACTCTGATTGGTTGTCGGAAAGGGGCGTGATTGATGGCTGTCACCCAAAGCTTGGTGGCATGAAAGTGAGGTTCTCAAAGGTCCTCACCAGGGGTTCTCTCCGCTTGCTGCTTTGCAGCTCGTTGGTCGGCGCTTCGCGCCGAATTCTCGTACTCCGATAGAGAGAAGAGAACCTCTGGGACTAGGGTAAGGTTTTCACGAGCAGCATCAGCAAACAGTATAATAAAATTTCAAACTTAATTTTGGCGGTAATTACCCCTCATATAAATGGTAAACCACTTCAATATATCGTAACATCTCTAGTAATAATTCACCTTCGCCAGTATGCCTTCGAGTGTCAGTTTCATCTCGGCTAGAAACAAAAAACAGAATATGGTGTTGCTCCCTCAATGGAAAAAAAAAATCAGTGATGAACAAAACAAAACAGAGAAATGATAATAACAGAAAAAAAGTCGATTCAGTTCTCAGTCAACCTGAAATTCTTCTTTTCTTCTTTGAAGACGCTTGACATCCTACGTAAAATGAAACGAGTTTATATAGAGTACAAGGAGAATTCACGTACGTGGATGAATCGACATGCTCATTAATTCAGTTTATGACACAGCTGTTTGATCACGAGTTTTATCGTTTTGGTTAGAGACGAACATTTAGGACCTTAATTGATTCAGTTTTTTTTCTCTCTCTTTGAGTTTACGCCGGTCTGTTCAATATTGTTGAATTAGCTTTTAACAACGAGAAATACGCCTGCATCTCCAACCTCTTTAATGGTTTGATATAGTCTAACTGGTATTTACAGTTGGTTACTGGAAAAGTATCCTGTTAGTTTTCATCCATTTCAGAGGGAAAGGGAAATAGGAAATGCATCCGCACAGTCAGGCGCGTCATCATACTTTTAAAGTCTATCTGGTTTTTACCTCGAGGTGGCCACGGAAAGTCGTAATAAGTTTAGATTTCAGTACTGAAACTCACTTTGCGTTGCCGCACAACTTTTATTTTTAAGGTATTTGAAGTGAGGCTGGACTTGAAAGATACTATCGCTTAAAGTTTAGTAATATGCCTTTTTTTTTTTAGGTACAATGACTTGATACTCATAACCAACTCAAAATAAATAACTGTGATCCAGCATTTAGCAACCAGTTAGTCAGATTTAGACAAATGTGGGAGAAGTAGTACGATTCGTCATATAAGTCACCCTCAGGGTTTTGGAAGAGACGATGTTAAGTTAGGAAATGTGCTGTGATTATATTTTTCTTTATTTTAATTAATCAGAACCAGTCAGGATGCTGCTGCAATTTTTTTTGTCTTTAAACTTCATATTTTAATTTCTTTGTTTCTAAGAAGGTAATAGAAAGCCTCCACTGGGACAGAAACATCACCATGTGATAACATCATCCGATAATTTGATTTCTGGTTGGGTAAAGGTAGATGATGAACCATGCTAAATATCAGCAAGATTGCCTCCAAAACATCACGCGGAAAAATTCTGCAGATGGTTACCCTGGTGGCTCTTTCTCTACTGATACTTAACTGGTACCTTTTCAGAAATGAAATACAGTGGAATTACAACATTAATTCAGAAAATTTTATAAATACAACAGAGTCGCCTTCAATTTGCCCAACGTTGTCACTTCAATTCAATGTTAGGGCCACATATGGTTTATGTAAACCTCACAAATCGAGTCAGGCTTCCTGTAGGTTTCTTCAAGAAATTTACGGCATAAAACCTGAATTACTGCAATGTAAAGAGAAAGGTGCTGGAGATGTTTGCATAATGAAAATGACCAGAACAAAGAAGAGGAGCAAGATTTCCTTCCTATGTAGCCAAACGCTTTGTCGGCAAGGAAAGAGCGATTCTTTCAAAGTTCTAACTGTGGATCCCAGAACAGGATTGGCAACCATTGTAAATGAATTTCACTCTGTGAGGACACTTGAAAGAGGACTACCAAATATTGTGAAAAGAAATAAGCAAAACAAATTAAACTTTGTTTTTATCGAATGTACAAGCCACCAAGGTAAAGGAGTGTCACAGTTGCTTCCGGTCGACCCTGATTTCACCATCAAGAAAACAGGAACTGTGAGAAATAAAAATCACATCAACGTGGTTGTCCTCTTAATAGATTCCATTTCTAGGGCTCATTTTTACCGATCATTACCAAGAACAATCGCAACATTTCAAAACTGGCGAGAAAAACCAGGTTCAGTCCCCGCCAATGTCTATGACTTCGAACTGTTTCAGGCCCTACACGGTCACACTGCTGAAAACACGCAAGCGCTCTTCACTGGAAATGTTTTCCCTATTGAATTAAAAGGTACAATGCCACCAGTTAATATGTCTGCGATGTTTAGGCATTATGATAGAGCTGGGTACCATACAATGTATCAAGAAGATTTGTGTTGGAAAGGAATCTGGGGACTAATGGTTAATCTTGGAGTAAGGCGATGGAGTGACCTTCAAGGCAAGATGAAAAACACCTTCATAGATCACACGGGTAAGTTGGATTTTCAAAAACGGTTGAAAATCGTGTAGAGAGCCAATGAATGCAAAATTATTAAAATTTATTTGTGTAAGTTGTTTTATGTTAGGGAGTCATTTAAGGGACCGACTCGCTTGGTGAGAGATTTTGCCTTTTTCTGACACTATCTTGATGCGGTTTTGTTTTAAGGCTTGACGCATTCCAGTTGTAAAATCCTTTCATCATTGGGAGTAACGACTCCTTTTAATGGACCTTATGGGGACCAAATCTGCTACAATGGGAAGTTTCAACACTCTTACTTTCTTCGTTACACAACTGACACACTTCACGCTATCAAGAAGTCACGTAACGCTTGCCCACTTTTCTCCTACACTTCACTCAGCGTTGCTCACGATCACAGAAGTATCCGCACGCAAACTCTGGATGTTGGTTTGGAGAATTACGTGAGGGCCATGGCGAAGGAGCAGAACACTTTAACAGTCATTCTGGCGGATCATGGTAACACCTATACCAGGTATACTGCAGAATTTTTGGAGGGGCGCTTTGAGATGTACCATCCATCCCTATTCATGATTGTGCCCGACAGAGTAGCATCGCTCCTTGGAAAGAAAGCAATATCCGCTCTAAGAGAGAACCAACGGAGGCTTGTCACCATGATAGACTTACACCGTTCTTTAATGGTCTTGGTCAACCCCCTATCCGGGAATGTTAAGCCAGTGGGGCTGTTCACACACATCGCTGTGAATCGCACGTGTGATGATCTGGAACTAAGGCTGCCAAACTTGTGCGTGTGTGAAGGTTGGGATGTACCGGCAGATAATGATTCTTCACGTATTCCTATCGCTGAGTTCGCGATAGGTCAGTTGAACAGTCGCTTAGCAGAGCAAATACAGAACGTTTCTGAACGATCCTGTCAAAGATTGCAACCACTATGGTTTGAAAATATTCGAGAAAGAAACTCGAAAGAAGACAGATCTCTGATCACTTCGATGGATATTCGAGTTAAAGCGGGAGATGTAGCTCCTCAAAGGGAAGACATATTTCACGTTGAAGTAATGACAAGGGAAAAATTTGGAGAAAAGTCTTTACAAATGACACTGATTTCTTTTGACCGTCTGACTTTATTTGGAAAATACGCAGACTGCGCCGATAATGGTGTTGACCTAAAATTGTGTGTGTGCTCACAAACAGCAAAACAGAAAAAGTCAATAGGGGCATTTTCGTCAGAAGACTGGGTGCATTTTGGACAACGCCCAGCTTTTAGAAAACTTCATAATACAACTTGTTTATTTTTGATTACAAGGGCTTTTGCTAAAAACAAATCTAACGCGTATGAAGTGGCTAACTTGTGTCGTGGTCAGACTTATCGAGTTAAGTTATACGTGGAGCAAGTTACCAACATGAAGTTTTCTTGTGAGGTCCCTCTGACATTAACTGTTACACCTGGTAACGTGCTGTTTGCATTTTCAGTTCGAAAGCATGTCAGTTATTGGGATGCTAACATAAAAGTTACTACTGAGGTGGAAAAGAATTAGAAGTTAATACTGATACACACGTCCGCATTTTAACAGCCTGTGGGATGTGCATCTTAGGTGTTCGTGGATTTTATTTGAATAGTTGACGAATAACTTGAAAATAGCTGGCTGATAGTTAAAAAGAAAATAATATCGATGACAAAAATCATGTCTGCAATGTTTTTGACCAGGAGACTGGAAGTTATTCGGGGGGGGGGGAGAGACTGTAAAGGGGGAGCTCTTTCACTCATTGGTACACACCAGACAAAAACATCGTTTAGACAAGTCTTTAAATATCTTACGCAGTGTCATTTCTATTTACTTATCCAATTCAGTTTTGATGTTTTGATGCACATCATGTCCTGTGTCCAATCGATATGGTCCCCCTTTACCTCCAAGCCCTGCTATATCATAGCCCCCAGCGCCACCAAGTGTTCCCGCCTACATGAGGGTCGTTGTTAGCGTCGACCTGAGGCAACAAGAACCTGTATTATTCATGATAGCTGCTTTCAGCACTCAACTCAGTCTATTCGGAATCTCATTCTCTTCACCGATAAAGTTCACTTACGGACGGAAACTATATTAATTTTACACCATTCCCTACCATGAAAGGATGAACAAAAATCAATGTCTAGGATTGATTCCAATTTTAATAAATATTTGAGTGACTTTTCTGTAGTCGCTCTTTGATGGTCAGCGGAATTAAACTGAGTCGCACGTCAGTCATCTCGAAGAAAGCATAGCGGAAGTAAAAATTTGCTGTAGAACTTGTGGAAGTTGTTCGGTGTCCATGCAAACAAACGCCCGTCCTGCTGGGAGCTTTCTGACCAGTCTGAGATAACAAAAAGAAAAAAAGGACAGTTTTACAAGAATGAGAAGGTCAGCTATCACTAGCCTCAAGATTGTAGTCATTCAAAAACATCTACCTATCAGCTTGGTTACCAAGCGAACCAATGAAAATGGCGAAAGCATTAACTCGTGCATCTGATGAGAGCACTTTCCCAAAAGCCTCCGCGGGTATACCATATCGCTCGAGATTTGCGTCGCTGAGGACGACAACAAAGTAATCATCGGCTTCTGCTGTGATGTGTTTGATTGCTAAATCTGTGCCCTCTAATGTGTGGTCACCACTCCAACAATACTGCGCATGTGCGTGCATTTGTTTCATGATGTCGAGGCGTTCTTTGTTGTTCTTGGGCGGCGAATCATGAGACACGAAAGGAATCTCGGGAGAATCACCCGAATGTCCGACAATATCATACTGAAAGAAAACAGATCATACAGAACGTGTGAGAGGATTGTGCCAGCTTTAACGGTTAAAACTCACATTCGGATAGGATATAAAGGCATGGACCTTAATTTTGTTGTCGTATTGATGAAAAGCTTCCATCACCAAACATGCGGCTTCCATCATTCGCCCCAGTCTTCCATCCAAGCTGTTAAACCGATACATACTGCCACTGACATCAACTACAAAGCGAAGGTGCTTGGGAAGACGTTGAGGAGTTCCTTGCTAAAAGATAACGAAAATTAAAGAAACGCACATGAGAACGATCTTCGCAGTGAGGAGCAGGGTTAGGGTTAGAAGAATGGCGCTCCTCACTGAGGAGATCGTTCTCATATGCGTTTCTGTAACCGCAGTTCAAATATATGACTTTCATATATTCTCAGCATTTGAAAATTAAAGAGTTTCACAAAAAGCAAACAAGCATGAACACAAAAGGATGAAACTTTAAGAAATATGAAACAGTTGGCGTTGCAAATGATTTGTAATTTGTCAGGTCTTGTTTTTTTTGTCCTGTTGGTTGCCACGAAACCTTTTTCACCAACAGTGGGCTCTACTATGTCGCAGTGCTACCAGTATCAAGGTCTTGACCTGACATGCACATCTCCTATCATTTACAGGGTGAACGACATGATTGAAATATCCTTGTTTAACTGGTATCTGGGAAAAAGTATACTTCTGGGTTTTCATCTCCTCGTTTCTTGTAGATCGCCCTTTCTCCAGTCAATCCTTCAATTAACTTTCCATCGTCCAGTTCGCCAGAGGTCTGGTTCCGAAGCCAAACTCTTTCCTGTCCTGAAGCTTGCAAACTGTCAAGAATGACCCGCAAAGACTGGACCTGGCGGCGAACACGTGACGAAAAAGATTCGTACATTTTGGCATCATACTCGCTCATTTGGATTTCACGGAGCCTGACAGAACAAAGTACACTCGTAAGTCTCAACAAGTGGAACACAGTTCTTCTTGATAGCATCATGTCACCTGATGTCTAGTCCTAGTCCTTGAATGTCGCTCGTAAATTGTCAGATTTGTGTTATCTACGGGCTTGAAAGCAAAGCTGACTGCCTCAGTGTAAATAATAGATGAATGAATAAATAAACCGACGCTTAGACAGACAAAGTACTGTGCAGGAGTCAAGCGCTAATTTACGACTAACAAATACACTCAGGACAGTAATATTTTCTGTTAGAAAGAGGTTAAAATGTTGAGCTCATGGTAATTCCTCACCTCTGTTTAAATGCTCTCCGCCCCAGATCCCTCGCCGCACGTTTGACGTCATCAGGAACTGCATCCTTCTCTTCTTCGGACAACTGATGCACATCATGTCCTGCGTCCAATCGATATGGTCCCCCTTTACCTCCGAGCCCTGCTGTATCACGGCCTCCAGTGCCCCCAGCCCAAGTGTTCCCGCCTACATGAGGGTCGTTGTTAGGGTCGACCTGAGGCAAAGAGAACCAGTAATATTCATGATAACTGACGTAGAACTTTCCGCGCTCAGCTCTGTCTACTCAGAGTCTCATTACCGTCACAAAAAAGTTGACTTACGGACCGAAACTCATTTGCTTACAAGGAAAACTATGGCAATCAATATTTTCATATTAGAGTATTATAAAAGAAAACATCCCTACTTTTCCATGTTTTGGACTTGTGACATCTTCTCCACTTTCCCTCGAGTAATTTACCTACGATGGAAACATCAACAAAAGTCATCCATCTTAAGATTCCAACTGACTTCCTCAATCATCTCTCCTAAACAAAGGAGCGTACCTGTAAGGGGCCCTGATAGTCCTCCCCAATAAGTCCCTTCCATTTTTCTAATGACCGGACAAGGTTGGTGACACCAGTCTCCCACAACCTTACGCGGCCGAAAACGTCTACTGTCACAATGCTCTCGTATGTCGTTGGCGCCATTACTACAGGTTTTCCCGCCAATCGCGCGTATAAAGCCAGATCATGACGGCCTGGGAACGCAATGTAGCGAACAGATCTGGAAAATAAAGCCAAAATTTGTTGCAAGAGAAAGAACCATCATGGAAACAACGACGACAGAATAATCGTCGCTGGGTGATGATGTGAATGATAGAAGAGCTTTCAAAGTTGAAACTCACCTCCTCGCTAAATCGGTGACCTCTAAGTATCCCAATAACCTTCGCACCCTAAACTGATGAGTATCCTCATCTTCTTCCACTGTTTGCTCGTCGTTGCTAGGAACAGTCGAGCCCGGGACTAAACGAACAACTTGAGCCGTGGTGGGGAGACAAAGAGGAGGGACTGTGTCTTCTGTAATGAGTTTATCTAAGGGTTTTGCTCGCTCTGAATAATCAAAATAAATGATAAAAAAAAAATATATATATATATATATATCACGGCAAATCTTTTGCCCAGACGCTCTATCTACCCAAGCCACGACGTTAAAATACACGACGAATCGGTACGTTCTCCCACATTTTTTTGGTCTACTCATTGCTAAATGCTTGATCATAGTTTAATTCACTTTAAGTTATCAAGAGTAAGAAGTCCCTGTACCTAAAAAGGGACGTATTTCCAACCTACAGGCAATAGCACATTTCCTGTATAGCCTCACTTCGACAACCACGAAAATAAAAATTGTACGGCAACTCAAGGTGAGTTTCATTTCTACAGTTTCATCTTATCACGACTTTCCCTGGTAAAATCAGGTAGACTTTAAAAGCATGATGACGTACCTGACTGTATGGATGCAATTTCCGTTCCCTTTCCCCTCTGAAATGAATAAAAACTAACGGGAGACTTTTCAAGTAACTGATCGGGCCGAACCAAGGCGACAGAGGCGTAATCCTCGGATCCGACCAGCAATCGATTACTTCTAGAGCTCTTCTCAACTCCTACAAACGAAGCAATAGCTTCCGGTGGCAAGTTCCGGGTTGATATCGATTTCCATTGTTGGTCGTCTCCTCCATTGACGTTAATGCTTTCAATTTGATGAAGAACACAAGGTACAGGGGCTTCTGGGTAAGGTTTCGTCAGGAGGTACTTGCGGTCGGTCCCAGTCTCACATACAAGCCACAAGTCCCGTGAGAAAGGGTGAAACTGTCCAACAATGAATGGCAGAGTAATGTGTTGTGATACTCCATCAGCTACGTCTACCACGTCCATCTTGTTACTATCTTCTTGATAAACAATCACCATATTTTCATGCGAAAATTCCGAGTTCATAAAAAAATTTCCCTTTTCGATTGCGAAATGTCGTGTTAGTTTTTCTTTGGTGTTGTCAACTATAGATTTGAAATTAAGAGCTCGAAGTTCCTTTTCCGTAGGGTTCAACAGATATAGTGAATTTAACTCCTGTTCATGAATAAGCACCTGTCCCTGTAGGTCCCTTCCCAAAGCGGCCATTTTCAATTGAGGAACTGCGTACGAAGAGCGGGGAAACACGTCATACAGGTCTATACACAATACTGAATCCTGATTGGTCTGTTGTGAATAGAGAGAGACTGGGCTTATCGCTAAGACGTGGATCCAGTCTCCTTTGATTCCTCCTGAGAACAAATCAAATCAGCGCATGGTCACTCGAGAACAAGATGGGCGCAATTATCCTAACAAGTAAGCTTTTCGGGTCATAAAGAAACCTGTGGAATATTGAAACGCAGTTTTTTATTCAATCTTCGCCGACAAGGTTTTGGCCGCGCCCACAGTTTAACCATCTTCTTGCAAACTTTTTTTTTTTTTTACTTTACACCCTAGAAGGAATTGAAAGGGAGCTTCGACAATGGTTTGGTGTCTTTCCGTATCTTATTTTCGCAAAGAAATAATAGGGTTTTTGACTCCTTACCAGGTCCCACAGCAGCACTCATTACCACTCCTCCCTCGTGCATCGGGAGATCCCAATGGCCAACTTGTTCCGAGAAGCCGAATGAACGATCATTAAAGCGCTCGCACTTGCTGGAA